TTCATAATAAAAAAAAAAAAAAAAAAAAAAAAAAAAAAAAAAAAAAAAAAAAAAAAAAAAAAATCAACAACAAAAAATACATATTTCAACAAGAGGCAAAAGAACAAATAATTACTGATGGTAGTGATGCTTATATTTAAATTTTCTTGGAGTAGTCATGCTGCACAAGAGGTCATATATCATCTACTTCAACCTCACTTTAATAGAAAAACTGAGGACAAACAACATTGAGTTTGAATTAGTAGAAAAATTGGGACAACTCAGGTGCACTGACTCTGACTCTGAATATACACAGCAGTCATATTATATAGAACGGTACTCTATTCCTTCCCACATCTTCAAATACTAAGCATATAATAAAAAGGAATTCACTTTTCCTTTCAATGTATCTTGGGGAAAACAAGATGGTAAATACATTACAAGTTGGCTTCTCCTGATTTATCAGTGTAATTCAAATCCCTATATGAAGTATAGTTGGTAGTTGGTGTAATTTTTTTCAAAAATATATGTACATCAATTATTCCTTAATGTAAAATTTCCATCTTGTTTTAATCTGAGAGTATTTTCATGTTTTTATACATGTCTACCCAATGTTAATGAGAAAATTACAACCTTTATATAAGTCTTTTTGATATGTTTAAAAGTAGATTTGAAATATAAAGAAAAATAGGACTGACATCAGTAGGATGGCAGCATAAGGACCTCCAGGGCTCTCCACTTGAAGTTACAAGTTGGACAGCTATAATACAACAGAGGATTCCCTGCTCAACATATAAACACATCTGAGAGATCTACACATTGAAATAACTGAAGGTGGATGTATCTCAGGGAACAGGGGAGGAGGAGGGAAGGAAGAAGGCCAGACATGGGTATCAAAGAAGTAGCCCAAAGCTCACTATGCGCCAGAAGACTCAGTATCAGGGAAAGTGTTGGGTTATGGCACATACACTCTGCAGCACTAAGGAACAGAGAGTTAGAATCAACATTTCTCCTGAGTGACTAGCACACCCTGCAGCAAAACCCAGTGCAGGGCAGAGACAAAACACAAAAGTGTGGCAGCTGTGGTCTAGCAGTTGCTATTACCAGGCAGAAAACAAAGCCACAGATGTGTAGCTGCCTCCCCTCACCCTCCCAGAACTCAGAGTGGCAGCTGCAGATACTGTAGGAGTACAGGTATAGGGTTACAGTGCACTCTCTCTCAGAAGCCGTGAAGACTGGAGAGGCAGAAACATTTATCTCTAACCAGGAGGAGTATACTAAAGTTAACAGTGACAGGGTAGAGACATGGCAGCTAAGGTCTGGCAGCTACCATTACTAAGAGAGTAAGGCCACAAAGAATAGACCTCTCCCCACTCACCCAACTCCATCTACTGCAGCAGAGCCTGGTGACTGCACCTGGGACACCTCAGATAGTATAGCAGTGCTAGCACTATCTAGTTGCAGGAGGTAGTGCCAGGATCTCACAGGCCCAGAGACCCATTGCCCACCACAATCCCCCATGGGGGTGGTGCCAAAACTAAGGGATGCCCACCTCCCCAGGGAACACAGGTCATTTCCCACAGAAAAGACACCACCTCCAGATTCCAAGAGCCCCAGCAACCCTGTCACTGGGTTGAGTTGCAGTGTGTGCCTGTCACTCAGGCAGGAATACTTTTGCTCTTCTAGTGTTGCAGAGAGAGAGTGTGTGCTGTCATCAACACATCCACTGCTACAGCATCTGCTGGGGCTGCTGTGAGCTCTGGGAAGGTGAGGGAAGGTTGCTATGCAACTGTGGGTTATGCTTCAACAACACCTGCTAGAAAACAAAAGAAAGATCTCTATGTATCAACTTATTAAACAGGTTAATATTTGAAGTCTCAAATATTTTTTTAAAAAGCAGGTTTCATCTGTGGCAAGCGAGACTCAGTTGTTTGGATCATCGTCCTGTACACCAAAGGGTGGTGGGTTCTATTCACGGTTAGGGCACATACCTAGGTTGTGGGTTCAATCCCCAATTGAGGGGCGTGAAGGAGGCAACCAATTGATGTTTCTCTCCACATCAAAGCCTCTGTATCTCTCTCTCCCCCCTTTCTCTATCTAAATCAATTTAAAAAAATGAACATAAATAACAAAGCTGATTTCATTTCCACAAATGCCTAGGCAGAGAAATAATCCATCAAACACAATAAAAACTAAGATAACAAGGAAGCTCAAAAAGATAATTTTAAAATCTCCAGAAAATAAAGTTAAAGACATAAAAGTATGTAATTTAAATGACAGAGATTTCGAAATGGACGTTCTGAAAAAACTCAACAATACATGAAAACTCAAAGTTTAATAAACTCAGAAATATAATCAATGAACAAAAGGAGTGCTTTACCAAAGAGATTAAAACTATAAAAACAAAAACAAATTCTGGAGCTGAATACCTTAGTACCTGAGACGAAAAATGAACTGGCAAGCCACGGAAATAGACTTGACCACGTAGAGGAAAGAATTAGTGATACTGAAGATAGAAATCTAGAAATGACTCGGATGAAAGAAAAGAGAGAGAAATTCCAAGATGGTTGCAGAGTTGGTGGCAGCTCCAATCACTCGCAACACAGGACCGGACTTGTGGCTAAACTGCAGAGCAATCAGCTTGAAAAACCAGTTGAAGTGTAGTCGACCTAAAATATTGAGAGCAGGGAACACAGAGGAAAGACAGGAGGAGATACGGGAGGGTGAGCCAACTCACACAGGTGCGTGGCTGGGAAGCCAAGAGGATATTGCGGCAGTGGAGGTCCTGACCCCTGGGGCCATGGAGGCCTTACCCTCCCGCAGGTGTCTCCGTTCCAGAATAACAGAGAAGGGATGGGGAGCCCCAGTAGCATTGGGCAGGTGAAATCAGTGGGGATTCAGTCCAACTGAGAGATTCAGACCACACCATCCCAGGTAAACAGCAATTTCTTTGTTTAGAACACCAGCCTGGGAAGTTTGCTCTAACCTGTGACTGTGGGAGGGGTCTGGCAGCAAAGCTCAGTGCAGGCGGAGGAATATGATTGGTGCACCAAGCAGCGAGTCTGAGGGGTTTCTATTCTCTAGAAGGACTTTGGTAGAGTGCAGAAAGCGAGCGGACAGTGTGGCTTGGAAAAAGAATAGGTCCTGCCTACCTTAAGCACGTGGGTGGTGACCATCTCTCCACCTGTGGGAACTGCTAGGTCTACCCTATCCTGCTGTGACCCAAAACAAAGGGGACCAGCACTGTGCTGGAAATCTGCATCCACACTGCTTGGTCTGATGGTGCAGGGGACACGGACATTTGGCAGAGGCTGATTTTCTTTTTTGATCCTTTCCTACTTGGTGGGGTGGCAAGGGGGTGCCAGGGAGCCAGGCAGAGCTGAGGCAGTGACTGTCTGTAGGGTGGATTTAAGTCCAGGAGAGAGATCTGTGTGTGCGGGGCCCATTAGCTGCATTATAGGGAAGCAGCTCCGAGCTCCCAAGTTCAGCCAGTGCAGCCCTAAAAGGAAAGGCCCGCACCTCCTCTCCACTCGGAGAAATTAAGGGCACCACCCCCAACACGAATCTGTTTAAACCAATCAGCCGGTCCCATACCTGGACACCAACCCCCCCACCCTGCCGCCAAGAGCACAGCTTCATGGGGGAACGGAGATCACCTCAGAGCAGGGACATTCAAAGCGTGAGACCCAGACCAAAAGCAGACTAAACCTCTGGACTTCAAAGGCCCTGCCCGCTAGAAAACTTGGGGCTCCAACCAGCAGAGCTTCATTCAAGTTGCCCAGGGACAATCAGGGACAACAACTGATATTGGCTTGCACCAGAGAACCTCACCGAAGAGAGGCTCAGAACTGGCACACTAAAGTGGCCAACTTCGGGCAAAATCAGAGCAAAATCCAGAGCTCCACAAATAGCAGATCAAAAGGGTGAATGCAGCACGCACTAAAATCTTCAGAGACAAACCAGTTTTTAAAAATCTTTTGTTTCTTTTTTTGTTTTATTTTTTATTTTTTAATTTCGGGAAAGGGAAAGGGAAAGGGAAAAGGAAAGGGAAGAGAGGCTCAGGCTTGAGAGGGAGAGCTCCTACTGTTTCTTTCATATTTCATTTCTTCTCTTTTTTCCTTTATATCTTATTTTTTCCTTGCTTTTATTTTTCATTTTTTCCAATTTTCTTTTCATATTCTATATTTTATTGAATTTATTAATATTTAATTATTTCATTTTAAAATTATTTTTAATGTTATGTTTTATACTTTATCTTCCTTTTCTTTCATATTCTTTTTGTTTCTAATTCTTTTAATATCTTGTTTGGTATTCTTTTTTTATTGTTATGCTTTTTTGTTGTTAGTCTGTGGGTATTTCCTGTTGTTTTCAGTTTGGTCTTATTTTTGTCTTGTTGCCATTTGCGTAACAGTTGGCATGAAGTGGTCGGGGTTGACCCTCACTGTCAGCCCTACCCAGGGAGGAACGCAACAGGAG